AGATAGATAGATAGATAGATAGATAGATAGATAGATAGATAGATAGATAGATAGATAGATAGATAGATAGATAGATAGATAGATAGATAGATAGATAGATAGATAGATAGATAGATAGATAGATGGCCAACCCAGGCTTCAACTTTTAGGCAACCTGTCTCCAATCTTACCCTGGCATTTGACACACATCTTGGGACCTGTAAGATAGTTCTTTGGAATTTAGATTGGACTCTTTCTTGTGGTGCAAAATGGGAGCCAAGTGGCCCCAGCAATGACAAATAACTTGTTAAACTTGTTGCTCTTAAGTGAACTGCTCTGAGACTGCCCATATCGGCTCACCAACTGACTTGCCTTCTTTGTCAGTTCTGTGATTCATTGTACCTCCTCCAGCCTACCTATCAGATCAACTAGAGCTGATCTAACATCTCCATCTGCTCTTCCCACTCAGGACAGTAAGAGTTTTCTGTCTTGTGGACTGCAAACAATTCTGGTGCATATACTGTTCAGATGGAACATTGCTCAGGCCTGCTGAACCTCATCATCTGGGAGGATATATGCTCTAAAAAACATTCACCTGTACAAAGCAGTGGAAGACCAGTACAGTACTAGGTGGGCAGGCTTCTAATAGGGAAAAGTATCTGATACTAGCAAGGAATGATACAGAATGTTACTGCACTGTTTACTGGTTTTCCTATGGAGAACCCCTGATAAGCTTTCAAGAAGCCCACAGGTGCCCAGATTTGAATACTAAGAAGATATCCCCAGCTGCATAAGCAAGTGAACAATGGCTATCTTCAAAGCACTCTATATTTATATCTCAGTAACCCTTTTTTCACAACCCAGTAGAGAAGATCAGTATCAAACCTGCGCCTCCTATGTACATATGGATATATAACAATTAGAGATAATTCACATAATAACTTAGGATCAGTTGTTCACTGATCTTATAAGAAATTTCTATGATATATGAACAATGTCCCCCTTACTTTGCTTCGTTCTCCAAATCTCCACAAATTTTTATCCCTCAAAAAACCAAAGGAAAACAATAATGCTAGTGTGTCATGAGACTCAAGAAGTAGCTGTCAAGGAAATGCTCAGATGTATGCAGCAACTGTACTCAATAACAGTGGATGTCTGTTGGACACAAGCAAGTAGATGTCTGCACTAGTCAATTAAAAGAAAGGATGTCCAATGACCACTATCACTAAGCAACAGCAAAGGAGGTGGGGGAAAGAGACAAAACAAAGGAGAACAAGCGCCGTGTCCAGCAGACTCCTTAGCTATGCTTAAGTCCCATGAAACAAAGCCAATGACAACCTTGTTTAGTATCAACTGATTTTAATAGCACCAAAGGACAACAAACCGAGCATGGACCCAACCAAATGCAGAAGATAAGCCCTTAATTACTTACTTCTCGTCGTATTTCATTCAGATTGTCCATAGTTAACCTCCGGCACTTGCGTGTCAGCTCTGGTGTGAGAGTGAGGCTGGCTTTGGGGTTCTTGGAGAGCTTGGCCTATATGGAAAAAGACAAAAACTTAATCACCATGTTTAGTAGCACTGATTTGCACGCGCGCGCACACAGAGAGAGAGAGAGAGAGAGAGAGAGAGAGAGAGAGAGAGATGTCTATAGACAGATAGAGTACCTAGAGTTAGAATTTGAATTAGAGTTAAGAGTTAAAGATAAAGATACATACACACATAAACAGCATATTCCATGGCTGCATTATACAAAGTTTGATGCAGAACTTGGAAAAGGCACCACAGTTCCTCAAATCTTTAGATAGCAGGGCCAGTGACTGTGCTGTGGGATGCTGGGATCTAGAGTCCAAAGGCTCGGAGCCTCACAAATATGAAGCGCTATTCTTACCTCCTGCTGTAACCATCTTTTCTTACGGAAGAAGTGATCCTCAAAAGATGAAATGGGTTCCAGCCTCCTTTGCACCTCCAGTTTCTGGAGATCTACCTTTGGTCTTCCTTTCACTAAGCAGTCCCGGTTGGGGATCAAGGGAAAGATGGGCACCTGAGCGTAAGGGCTGTCCGAAGGTGCTGTGCTTGCTAGCAAAAAGGAAAGCAAAAGAGTGGTCTCTGAGTTTTCAGCCCAAGAGTTTTCAGTGCTGGAAGTGTAGCCTTGGAACCTGTCAGAACTGGAGCAGTACAAGGCACAGAGAAGGGGGCAGAGACACAAAGAAGCAAGCATGTAGGGTAGACAGAAGGAAGAAGACAGAGTAAGGGGCACAGAGACAAGGAGCAATGATGATTCTTATCACACCCTAGTCCACTAAAGGATGGTGAGATAGGGAAAGGAACTGCAATGGGACCCCAAGGGATAGGATTTAGCTGCACAGCCCGGGATTACCTGTTCCTTTTAGCATCAGTTCCTTGGTTCCTCTCTACAACTGTAACTAAGCTTAACTACCCATAGCTCTTATTTTAATTACTTGAGCTTAATGATCTCTGATTTTAATACTCTGATTATTGTGGTAATATTGTTCAATTTGTTTTTCACTTTTAAAAAATGCCTTCAGTGATGTTTACTGAGATTTGTATGCTATTTTGGTGAAAAGGCAGGGTAGAACAACAATAACAATGATCATAATTATATTGAATAGCTTAACCTGTCCTTACTACAGTATAGATTTTAAGTAAATTTCCTGGCCTGATCTTAGAAGACGGGCAGTATGAGCCTGCCCATCCTCTAAGATCAGGCCAGGAGGATCTTCTGAAGGTGCCATCCATGAAAGAGGAGAGGGGGATGGCATGCCGAAAAGGGCCTTCTTGGCTGTTGCCCCCCAACTTTGGAATGCCCTCCCTATAGAGATCCGCCTGGCTCCAACACTTTTGGCTTTTCAGTGCCAGGCAAAGACCTTTCTGTTTAGCCAGACTTTTAATTAAACAGTATTCTCTAGCTGGCCACATGAGCAGCAGGACTTATTAATATTAATGTTTTAAGAATTGTTTTAATACAGGATATTTTATATTGTCTTTTTAATGTTTTTAATGTTTTTAAGTTTTAATATTGTTGTACGCTGCCCAGAAGCCACTGGTAATGATGCGGCTAAAAATACTGTAACTAACTAACGAACGAACGAACGAACGAACGAACGAACGAACGAACGAACGAACGAACGAACGAACAAACGAAAGAAAGAAAGAAAGAAAGAAAGAAAGAAAGAAAGAAAGAAAGAAAGAAAGAAAGAAAGAAAGAAAGAAAGAAAGGTTTGTGCTTTTGGACTATAACTTCCAGAATTCCCCAGGTGTCACCTGAGGAATTATGGGACGTATAGTCCAAGAACACAAATGTGTACACCTCGAATTGGAAGCCCAGTAGGACACAACCCAGTCTTTTTCTGTTTGGTAAACGATCATACATGTAAATGTGCTAAATACATCAACAATAAGAATAAAAAAAGGATCCATGTCTCCCTCTGAACTGACCACACTCTAGCTATGATCAGAGCAGGAATGTATACACACAATCATGAATACAGCATGCAGTCTCTGTGAAAAGCGTGGCCTCCTTCCACACCACCATTAGTTCCAGTTTTCCTGGTCATGATCCAAACCTGCTCAGACACAAACTGAGGTGCAAAAGTAGTTCTTACCTCGGAAGCGGAGATGTTCTACATAATCTTCCAGCTCTTTATCATTCATGATGCAAATGCGGGCAGCGCCAGCGAAGGAAGACAAGGGAGTGGAGCGTGCTTTGGGCACGTGCCTTTTCTTGCCACCACGTCCCATTTCTTTTTCTTCATCGATACTATCAGCACGCCAAGCTTTCCTGCCTGTAGACTCTAGGAACTTTTGCCGGTAGTAGCTAAAATGCCAAAAAGCGAGAACCAAGACAAAAGCTGAAAATTATGGGACAAGACAGCAAATGTGACTACCTCTTGATTTGTAGTTAACCATTTATTTTTATTTATTCACCTAATGTTTTCACTATATTGAATAACCTGAGCTTTAAACAACAGGAGAAACTAGCAGAAAGGTGATTGTCATCCAGCTTTTTCTAAATACTGTGCTGAAAGAGTTGCACCATCTATTTATTAATTTTCTGTTAACTGAGGGAAGGAAGCACATGCTGTTGCCTGGCCTACTGTTGCTGGTAAACAACTAGGCTCACAGCTGATGGCTCCTCTCCTCTCTCCTCATCCCCTCCAATGCTCCATCAGGGTCTCACCAAGTCAAGGTGCTTGTTCTTACTAGGCTCACATCATGGGGCCAACTAGGCAACTCAATTAACACAGGAGAAATCCCTTAAAAGAAAAAGACTACTGTATCTTTTATTCTATCATGAGCTTGCCTCTATCTGCCTTTAGCAAAGTACAGTAGTCTGAACTGGTCAACTGGGAGATAGCGCAGCTTTATTTCCATGTCTAAGGTTTCAAGCACTTAGCTCTGACAAGTTTACTTAAGTAGAAGGAAAGGTTATAGAAGGAAGAAAAAAGCCTTTGCTTTAACATGTTATTTGATTTTTAAAAAAAGAAGATCAGCGCTAAAACCATTCACACTGTGAAGACTGTGGTACTTTTCTATATTTTTTAAAAAGGGAGGCCTTTAAAAAAGGCAGAAGAGTCATTGATTAAAGATAAGGGAGCATTGCCTACATTAATGTCTGGTGGACAATGCTCTGGAAAAGGCCAATCAATCAAACATGGCAATTTCACATGACATATTCCTGTTTCGCACAGGCATTGACACTAATTAAAGAATTAATTGTATTTATATAATCATTCCATTAATTTTCAATAGCAATTACTATTATTTATATAACATCATCAACAGACACACAACACTTCACAAAGCAACACAACAAAAAAGCAGGTCCAAACTCCCAAGAAACATACGATTTAAATTTTAACAGTGAAGATATGAAGTAATGAATATTACATAGCACTGTTAAATCTCACAACAAAGTTTCTTTTGAATAGGTTTTGCAAAAGGAACGTGATGGCATGTGTACCTATTTAGGTTTTCTTATTTCTCACCTGACGATATTCACTGTGGTTTTCCGTGGCAGCACAGAAGTCTCCACCAGTTTGGACAAGAGCTCAAAGAATAGGATCCCTCGTGCATCAACAGTCTCCATATCACCTTTCTTAGGGGCTGGGAATAAAAATGGGGGGAGGAATGCAGAGTGATCATGGAAGGTCTAGTTCTGCCTTACTCCCCACAGAGTCATTTTAAGAAACTGGACAGAACTCAAATGTCAAGCAAATACCAGCCATGTGGTCTTTTCACTTGCCAGTTTTATTCGTTCATGCAACCAAGTGTCAAACCAGGAGCTTATGTGCCAACAACCATGACAGAATACAGTATGGATTTGTCACTCATTAAGTGATGCTAATGCAGGCTGCAGTTACAGTCAGTTTCAAAATTTTAATCTCAGTTAACTGGAAATACAGTTTCAATCTGTCTTCAATGTCTTCCTGTAGCACCCCCCCCCGCCCCATTCTTTCTTTGTAACTATGTCTGATACCTCAGATCAGATTGTTCCTTTTTCTAAAGTTGCTGCCTTGAGGTCAGGTTGGAGCTCTGAAACAGGCAATGTGAAATCTCTCTTTCTCTCTCATACACACCAAACACGGTAGCTTAATTTTATAGGACATGTTCAGATTGTGTTATGATACACATTTATACTGAAAACAACATCTATTCCTATATGGCACATTTTGCCGCATTCCATTTGCAGCTAACCTACTAAAAATAGGGTGAAAGCCCTAAATTAGTGTGCAACTACATAGGGGAATTTGGAGCGATCCGAGTCATGTTTAAAAGGCTCTTATTTTTGGTGCAATCTATTTTTTTCTCATATTTGAGCAATTCTGTCTACACAGAAGATGTTTCTTCTCCCGTGAGAAGGATCCAGAGAACTTCAGATCATTCCAGTTTCTCTCCCTTTTGAT